TTGAGTTGAGTTCATTTCCCCTGCTGGTTAACTTTTAAACCAGCACAACATCAGACTGGTAACCTGTCACTAGAGAAGTTCTGCAGGGTTCCATTCTAACCCCAGTGCTCTTCAACATCTTCATAAATTACTTGGACACAGGACTGGAAGGGATACTAAGCAAGTATGCAGATGACACAAAACTGGGAGGAACTGTTTACTTCTTGACTTAGTTTAACAAGATTACAATTTAGAAATTAAGAGACTTCAGGTGGAAGTGTGAAAAAGGAAAAGAAACAGTTTTTTATTAAAAAAATCTGAATAAACAACAAATGGTGCAATCAAAAACATTCAGAAGAAACAAAACAAAGTCCCAAATCCTCATGAGGGAGGGGAGAAACCCGCGGCAACCCAGGAAGGGGGGAGAGGGAAAGGCAGGAGTGTCCCGGCAGTTCAAAAGCTGCTAACAACCAAGTGTACTTGCAACCAGCAATGAAAAAAAACAAGTCCTTTTCCCACAGGCAGTCTTGAAAGCAGAATATCTTGCTCTGAGATGGGTCAGTCTCTCAGTCATCCTCTGCGAGGTGTCCCATAGGGAGAAAAAACTTCCTCTCAGGAAAAGAGAACAAGACGGTCAAAAACCGTGCTCCTGCTCTGTCCGGTCACAAACCAAACCCTAAAAACCCCCTGTGATAAATTAATAATTGTGATTCGTGAAACAAATGGGTGATTACATCAAAATACATACCACCTGCTCTCCTTCTTCTTTATCTGCTAGAACAAAACTCTCACCTTCCAGGCAGTTCGTGATGATTTCTAGGATCCCAGGGCGATTCGGATTCCCAATATGGGTGCACTGTGTGATCAGAGCGATCCACTTACTCCATGTAGCATCAGTGGTATGATGTGTAGAGGATGTCTTTCCCTTGAACATCCAACTCACCTCAATGGAGGTGCTAGGAGGAGTTGTTCTTCTGTGCCAGTCACCTCTGAGGCAGCTTGTACTCCTTCATAAGCTGTTAGGATCTCCTTTTCTGTTGGGGTGTAGTTGGCTTCAGATCCTCTGTAGTTTCAACTCCAGAATCCAAGTGGGCGGCCTCTGGTCTTGCCAGGCACCTTTTGCCAGAGGCCCCAGGAAGGACCATTATCCCTGGCTGCAGAATAGAATACATTCTTCACCTCTGGTCCTGTCCTGACTGGTCCAAGGGCTACAGTGTGGGCAATCTCCTGCTTAATCTGTTCAAATGCTGTGAATACATTTGGGAGGAACCTTCTAGAGGGTCAGATCCTTGTCCATGAGATACCTTGCTTCATTGCCATCAAGTAGCAAGTCTTCACCCATAAGGTTCCACACTCGAATCAGACAGATCAAAATGGGCTCATCTTGGTGTCGAGTAATGTTGTTCCGCATATTGCGGAGCTGGTCATATGACAGGGATTCGGTAATGATCTCAGGTTCTGGTTCCTCCACTGGTTGTGAAGGCCTTGGTTCCCCATCCTCGTTAACTGGGTGTATTGACTTGGCTTTATACTTCTTCGTCTGCACTGGGGTCACTTCCCCTGGCTGTGACTTCCCTTCTGGTGTAACTGGGGACTGAGCACTTGTGATGTCTATTGGTTTCTCTGCTCCACTATCTTTCCCTTCTGACTGTAGGTGGTGTTGCCCAGTCCATATCATGGTGTGGTAAGCATGGGTTAAGGTCCAGCACATTGCTATAAGCTGTCCATCTCTGGAATTTATGGACCGATGTTCTTTCAGGCACTCAGCAACCTTACAGGGGATCTGTGTTTGGTCAGGGGAGAGCTTCCAAACAATCACGGGAAAGTATTCCTTTAGCACCGGGCCTATCTCCTCCCATGCTCCCATCCAATCAGTGATTTATGTCTATGGCAGGTTGTTGGTCCATGGCAGGTGATTGGACAGTGACAGGTGGTTGGACAGTGGCAGGTTGTTGGACCGTGGTAGGCTGTAGCACAGTGGCAGGTTGTTGGGCAGGTTCTTGGGTAGGGTCCCTATTGTCTGGGGTAGGTCTTGGGGCAGGTCTTGGGGCAGTTACCAAAGACAACCTCACCCTGTCTCTAAATGCTGGGTAGACCACACTGAACAAACACAGTAAAAACATAATCAAGAATAGAATATCTTTAATGTCCAGGGGAAAAATCAACCCTTCAGAAGCTACCGTGGTAGGGCCATATGAGAAGTGGGTGAAGGGTTGGGAAAAAGCATTTGCCTGTGTTCCTCCCCCAAAATAGGTACCATTATCAGTAAAACTCCAAAAATAAAAACCTGGGTTGTGGTAGTAATGCATCCATGTTAAAACAAGAAACTAGGCCCAAAAGAGTTAACTGAGAAATCTGGGTCTGCTAAGAAACCCCCCTAACATCTAATCGCTCTATGCTACTAAAGACTAGTTCTGTTCTGCCTACTGGACCAAAACTTAGAAGAATGGTAGAAGTAGTATACAATAGGTCTAGAGGTAATAAATTAGGATGAAGTAAGATAAGGTAGACATTTGAATAGGAGAAATAGACCTGGAGCCAGGGCTTTCTCCAAGTTTCAAGGACAATGGAAAGGTAGAAAGGTCAGGTTGATGAAGATGAGAAAAGACCCCAGACTCATGGGAGGAAGAGTGGATTTACCACCAAAATTGAGGGCCAAGAGAAACACCGCCCTAAGTTCCACCTGAGCTCTGCCTATACTCCCCCTGTTATTAATATGTATAGATAGATGTTGTAATCATATGAATATGTATTTAATCATATATGAAAATTGTATAACAACCACTGATTTTGTGTGAAACCTTTGAGCAAGTTTTCTGTGGTGCGAACCACACTTGCTCCTGATGTCGAAATAAATACCTTTGCTGCTCAAAAGATCCAAAGTCTCTGAGCAGTTCCTTATACCGGATTTTTCGGATTCAATGTATATATATATTCCAAAAGAGAACTATGGGGTCAGAATTTTTCAACCACTGGTACCAATTTACAAACTTAATAGCAGCCGTAACTGTTGCAGTCATGGTGTCCATCTTTAAGAAGTGATCCATAAATGGAAAGACCATATACACTGCCAAATGCCAAAAGAAGTTGGACCACATGATCGCTAATGGTGTGTATATATGCAATACACAGGTGATTAAACAAGAGGGTTTATTCCTTTTCCACCTTTCCTCTAGTCAAGTCCCATGATTTGGGTGCCAATTAATGTCTAAGTTAAACAAGATTACAGCTTAGAAATTAAGAAACTTCAGGTGGAAGTGTGGAAAAGGAAAAGAAACAACTTTTTATTTAAAAAATCTGAATAAACAACAAATGGTGCAATCAAAAACATTCAGAAGAAACAAAACAAAGTCCCAGTTCCCCAGGTGAGGGAGGGGAGAAACCTGCGGCAACCCGGGGGGGGGGGGGGGGGAAAGGCAGGGGTGTCCCCCCTGGCAGTTCAAAAGCTGCTTGCAACCAAGTGTGTTGGCAACCAGCAATGAAAAAAAAACAAGTCCTTTTCCCACAGGCAGTCTTGAAAGCAGAATACCTCCCTCTGAGATGGGTTGGTCTCTCTCTCTCTCAGTCGTCCTCCGTGAGGTGTCCCGTGGGGAAAAAAAACTTCCTCTCAGGAAAAGAGAACGAGGCAGCCAAAAACCAGGTTCCTGCTCTGTCGGGTCACAGACCAAACCCCAAAAGCCCCTGAACAAAGGACTCTCCTCGCCCTCCCGGCAGTCACTGTGGTTTCCCGGAGTGCCTGCCCTCCCCCCCACTCCCGCACTACCCAGTGCGTGCGGCTTTGCTCTGCCCCCACCCCCATCCCCGAAGAAACAGACGGGAGGGGGGAATGGGGGGGGGGGGGGGGGATTGGGAAAAAATACAAACGTCCCTTTTCAACCTTTGTCACTTCCCCAAAGGCAGGGAGGCCTTGAAGAGAGACCTCAACAAATTAGAGGACTGGGCAATCACTAACCATATGAAGTTCTACAAGGGAAAGTGCCGGATTCTGCACCTCGGATGGGGCAACCCTGGATGTACGTACAAACTGAGGAGTGAAATGCTTGAAAGCAGTGCTGTGGAAAGGGACCTGAGGGTCCTGGTTGATGGCAAGTTGAATATGAGTCAGCAGTGCCCTGGTAGCCAGGAGGGTCAACTGTGTCCACGGGTGCATCAGGCACAGCATCGCCAACTGGTTGAGGGAGGTGATTGTCCCGCTCTACTCTGAACTGGTGCAGTCTCACCTTGAATATTGTGTGCAGTTTTGGTCACCGCAATGTAAGAAAGATATTAAGCTATTAGAGAGTGTCCAAAAGAGGGCAATGAAGATGGTGAAAGGCTTTGAGGGGAAGGTGTACGAGGAGTGGTTGAGGTCACTTGGTCTGTTCAACCTGGAGAAGAGGAGACCGAGGAGAGACCACATAGCAGTCTACAACTTCCTCGTGAGGGGAAGAGGAGGGACAGGCACTGATCTCTTCTCTGTGGTGACCAGTGACAAGATCTGAGGTAATGACCTGAAGTTGTGTCAGGGGAGGTTTAGGTTAGATATTAGAAAGAGGTTCTTCACCCAGAGGGTAGTTGGGCACTGGAACAGGCTCCTGAGGGAAGTGGTCACAGAACCAAGCCTGACAGAGTTCAAGAAGCATTTGGATGATGCTCTCAGGCACATGGTGTGACTCTTGGTCATGGTCCTGTGCAGGGCTAAGGGTTGGACTTGATGATCCTGATGGGTCTGTTCCAACTCAGCATATTCTGTGAATCTGTGATTCTGTGAAACTTGCCAACCATCCATTTCAACTGAACCTCTTGACATTACTTTGATATTTGCCTTTTTATTGTCTAATTCATTCTTTCTACCTTCTCATGAGACTGTGGTATCCATGGGGTGTGTGGTTCCCAATTAATCTGCAAAAACTTAAACACTTCCTGCACTATTTCTTCTATAAAGTGGGGTTTATTATCTAAAGATTCCTTCAGTCATACCAAATCTGGTTATTATTTTTTTTAACAAAGTTATTTACTTCTCTACTTTTGTTGGTACCACAGGGGAAAACCTCTGGCAAAGCAGAAAAAATATCTACTAATAGATAGTTTTACTGTTTGGTAATTCTGTAAAATTTATTTGCCAATATTCCCTGGGTATTATTCCTTGCTTTACACTTCCTCCCTGTATTTTCTCTCCTATTTTTTATTTTAGCACTGTTAATTATACATTTCTTTAAACTATTATGTCTGTAAAACTTTGTATTTTGAGTCCAAAGAAGTTGTTCTTTTCTAAAAGCAACAATGCATCTGCTCCCGCATGTGTCTCTGGATGCATCCTTTCAAGCAGGGTTTCCATCATCTCAGAGATCAATATCTGTTTTTCAGGTGTTTTCCACCATCCTTCTTTATTTTTAGCACTGTCCAACTGTTCTGTGAATTGGTCCCCTTCTTTTGTAAAATTTGGCAGAGCACAGACTACGCCAAATACATAGAGTCAGTATGAATATTGACTTTGTTTCCTCAGTTCAATTTCAGGGCCTGAGTGAGGGCTACCAATTCAGCTTTCTGGGCAGAGGTTTGCCAGGCAGTTGTTAGCTTTAACTGCTCCCCTCAGTAAAAAGTTCCATCTCTGCTTCAGGTGACAAGTTGACTCTATTCATCCACAGATATACAAAAGAAGACGTCTTTCAAATCTAACACAGTTGGACTCCTGATTTCAGTTCAGTTTTTACCGAACTGACATTTCTTGCTCGTCTTGTGATTCCTAATACCCAAACCAATGGTATAACTGCATCTAAAACTTCATTGGAGATTCCTTCTTCTGCAGGTTTTCCCTCGGTAAGTAGGAAGATCCATATATTTTCCAGAGGAATATGCAACTGGACAGAATCTTCGGAAAAGTTAATTCTGCATTTAACTTTCATAGCAAATCCCATCTGAGCAGTGGCAAAGGACTCCTGCATATAGAGAAACTGGTATGTTAATTTTGTGTTTCCAGTTGTGAATTCCATTGGTTGTAAAAATGGTCTGAGGGATTTCCTCCCCATCGCACCAACATCTACTTTCATTTTACTTAAAGATCCCTTACAACTAGTAACTACAGAATAAGTTGCTCCAGTATCCACTAGAAAATCTATTGGTTTGATGTCTCAAAGCTTTTTTTGGATTTTTTAACTTTTATAGATTTTAGAAGTAGTTGTGTAATAAACGTAGATTTTAATGTAACTGCATTATATCCCTTACCCTTTATCAATCCCTCTAAAATTCTGTTAGCGTGTTTAGTCTTCTTTTCAAGGTAGAATTGTAGAAAAACACCCTAAGGCCTGGACCAGAAGATATCACACAGACACAGTGACCTTCAAGCCCAGAACTTTGGAGGAACTCCAAGGACTGTACATGATTTGAAGAAGATGAAGATGAGGAAAAAGGGGTCCCAAACACCCCCAGACCCAATTCCTGAAGGGACGTGTTGGGGGGCAGAGTGGGGCAAAACCAGGGGTGGACAGATCTGAGATTGGATGGACCTTATTATAAAATCATAGAACCACTGTCTGGGCATGTGCACGCAGCATGTATTCCTCTAGGTCTACGACCTCATTAAAGGACCTGCTCTCTTTATCTTATACACTAAATTGTCCTGGAGTCTTTTTCTCCGTGTTTTTTTAGGTTAGAGTTTCATTCCCCAGTTTAATTGGAACCAGAGGATCGACTGGGGAATCAGCAAGAGATGTCTCTGGTCTCCTTCAGTCCAACTCAATTTCTACCATAATTCCTGCCTCTTTTTGGTTTTCCTTTTGTTCATTTGTGAGGCGGGGGCACTCCTTTTTCCAGTGCCCTTCCTATCTACCCTGTATGAAATGTCGAAGATTTGTGGTAACACAGTGGGGGGAGGATAAGGTCAGGGTGGATAGTGGGTTCTTTTGGAGTCATGGGGGTCCTGGTTGGGTTGGGGCCTTGAAAGGTACCTGAGCCTTGGGTGGGTACGGGGGTCAGAACGGTTTGTTTGTTTGTTTGTTTTTGGCTCACCTGCGGCTACTGCCCAGGTTCGGTATGTTCTGGATACATTTGTTTTGTTACATCCGGAAAGAGTGGTTAGGACAAAGGGTTGTTCCTGGGTATTTCCTTGGGATTGAATATAGATAGCTGGCAGAAAAGTAGGAAGTGAAAGACTTGCCCTAATCATTTTAATAGGAATGAAACCTGCGTACCCCTATGTGGTTGCGAGTTATGCTGGCAATGGTACATGCCTTCAGTAGGGTCACCCATGCCCAACAGGTCAAAATCGTAGGGTCAGATACAATACATCCTTGGGCAGGATGAGTTCGTTAGCCTTCTGGTAGACATCCTAGGAAAAGGACAACTCTAATCTCAAACCAGGGTAGATGGAGCTTGCTTAGCCCTGTAAGGCCATCCATCTAAGAGAAGGTCACTCTAATTAAATGTACATCCTGAGGACCTCTCTGCCACCGTCCAAGCTCACTCGACCCCGGCAGATGAACCTTTTGGATTAAAGGGTGGGTTCAGTTCCACGCACACTGCATCTCACCTAAAAAATCCATTGTGCAGGCTCAAAGGCCTTACCCACATTTGTAAAGCCCTGTAGTGATGAGCAAGGGTAGAAACGGCAGGAGAAAAGTGCACTGGAAGCTGCAGACCCAACCCTGCATACAGGCAGTTCAGGATATTGGTCATTTGAGACTGACAGGAGATGACAGTCTCTTTGGGCAACACCCTGAATGTCCAAGCAACCATTTCAAGGAGAGCACTGCTTACTCCACTCGGAGAGGGGTCTAGAAAAGGTGACCTAAACAAAGTTCATCACCCCCTTCATGCAGTTGGTTAACCGCAGCCAACGGGCATCTTCTACTAATGCGGTCACACAAAGATCAAAAGACAAAGGCATACACCTGCCTCCAAAGGTGTACCCAAATTATCTCTAGCATGCTGGAACATCAGAACCATGCTTGACTCTGCTGATAGCGGATGTCCTGAGCATCATTCTGCCCTAATTGCCCATGAACTGTCACGTCTCAACATCGACATTGCTGCTCTCAGTGAAGTTCACCTTCACGAGGAAGGTAACCTTAGAGAACATGGTGCCGGTTACACACTCTTTTGGTCAGCTAAACCCAGAACCGAAAGGCATCTCTCAGGAGTTGGTTTCCTGATTAAAAACTCTGTTGTTCCAAAACTCGAAAATCTGCCGACAGGTCACTCTGACCGCATTATCTCTCTATGCCTTCCACTACAGAACAAGCAACATGTTGTCCTCTTTAGTATATATGCCCCAACTCTCCAAGTTGATCCTGTTGAAAAAGATAAATTTTACACCGACCTACACCACCTTACCCAAAAGGTTCCTGCAGATGATAAGATCATTATCCTTGGTGATTTCAACACCAAAGTAGGCAAGAATTTTGAAGCATGGAAAGGAATATTAGGCAAGCATGGTGTTGGAAACTGCAACGATAATGGTCACCTTCTGCTAGAATTCTGTGCAGAGCAACAGTTCACCATCACTAATACTATCAGCAGAAAAATAGTCTGAAAACAACTTGGATGCATCCTAGATCTAAGCATTGGCACCTCATC